GATTTATGGTTGGTTGAATTTTTTTCACATTTTATGTTTATATATATTTCAATAAATGAAGATTCTAGATGCAATCATGATCTTTGTTCAAATAGATAGATGGGTTTGGTCCCTAGATGGTTCAGATGAGTTATCGGTGGCTTCTTCTTGTAATTACATAGACTCCAAAATTTGGTGATACATCATTTTTCTACTAGATGGAATCGGCTTGTCCCTACCAAGATTAATGTATTTGCTTGACGGTTGGGCTTGAACAAAATTGCAACTCGAGACAATCTTGATAAAATAGGATTATAGGAATTCATGTGCATTCCCTCTTATGTCCGATTTACGATTTGGAGATTGAATCGGTGAGTCATTTGTTTTTTTTTCTTTTTTGAAGTATATAATATTTATATACGACAAATGCAACAAATAAACTCACACACCCTCCTCACCTATGGTGAGGTTTGAACCCTGATCTCCTAGAAGGCCAAGGGCTACGATACCGCTAGACCAAAGGCCCTTTGGTCGAGTCATTTGTTCTTTTCTTGTCAAATGGCCTGGTAAATTTGGAAGCAAATTGGTCGATGGTGGGGTTTGGATATGCCGGAGTTCAACTCCAATTTAGATTGGATTGGATGGTAATTTTGTTTGCAGTTATAGAAAGTGGATTCGACTTTTTCAGAGACAGTAGTTCTAACGGCTTTATGGACTATTTGGTCATTTCAGAATGCGACTCTTTTTAAGATTCCTAAGCCTAAGAAAGTGGTATCGTGGGATAGTCCCCATTCTATCTTCTGGGTCACAAATAGTAGTAGTAAGTTTAACATTAATTGGTTGCAAAAACCTCATTCTTGCTATTTCTTACATGTAATATGTTTTTCTAGCTTCTTGCTATGCTTTTATAAAATCTCCGCCATTTAAAAAAAATTCAACTAGTTTTCAATTTTTTGAAGGCATTGTGCTTTTGGACCAGTAAAGATAATAATTAGAAATTTATAATAAAAAAATTATACTAATTTTTCTTTCCAAAATATAAGTTATATTTTGGATTCTAACAATAAATTCAAATCATTTGGATCCCAAATAGGACTTTAGCATCGAGACCATGATTCAGATGTAGTTAGGATTTGGATTGTCAATAATTCGGATTTTGGAGTAATTCGGATTCCGATAAACACCTTGGGATTTGTATCCCACTCCAGATTTTGAAGCATTCCGGATTCTGATTTTAACAAGTTGGTCGGATTTGAAGACATAATTTCAAGAATATGTCTACGTGTTGTATCAAATGTATTTATGTTATTATCAAATCAGATTGTTGAGACCAACAATATGCTTATTAATAATTGTAGTATGTTTATGTATGCTAATAAGGTGTGTTAAAAAAATTGTCGGACTGCTCAAATTGGTCGAACCAAATCAAACTGAATCGTTTAGGCGATTTGAGCTATTTGATGGTCTGGTTGCTCTGAAAAATACCCAAATTGCTCGGTCCGGTCCAATAAACGTTTTTTTAGTGGTCTGGAACCGTCAATATATACATTTATTAGTTATATTTTCTTTTCATGTTGTAGGTTCAATTTTTATGATCCAATTAAAAAAAGTCTGTCCAAGACATTAAATTTCTAGCTTTCATTTCTCAATTGTCCGTGTATCGAAATTGGCAAATTCAAAATTTGTCAAAAATCAAAATCCAAAATTTCAAATTGTCATTTGTTTTACTCAATGTTTATCCAAAACTCCAACTATTGTTGGTGGATTTATTTAACTTTTTTTCTACTTGCTCAATAATTTTTTAATTGTGGAGATAGATGTATCTTTTATAATTTGGTATATGATTTTTTTAATAATATTATATTAATAAAAATTTTATTTTGGAGATATATGTGACTTTTTTTAGTTTAAAGCACATAATAAGTCCAAATCGCCTAAAAACGGTCAAACAAGATCATTTTTTGTGGTATAGTTTGACTAGTTTGGTCAAATTCTATCAAATCGCTCATTGCAGTTTGGTTTGTGGTTTGGAGGATTAAACCTTCCAAATCGGATCGTGCACACTCCTAAATTGCTATTGTTATATATATATATATATATATATATATATATATATATATATATATATATATATATATATATATTGGTATTTTATCCCTAGTGGTGGGGAATGTGTTTGAAAATACAAAATGTTTATGAAGCAATGGTGATGGATTTAGATGCAAGAAAATGCAGGTGTAGACTATGAGACATATTAGGAATTCCTTGTGTGCATTCCATAGCTGTCATACACTTTATAACAATGATCAAGAGGATTATGTTAGTACATGGTTTCCTAAGGATCCCTTCAAAATGACCTAAGAGAATCATATAAGATCATTGAATGGAACATGTGGACTCTAACAATTTTCATCAAACCAAAACCAGCTACGGAGGGGAAAATGCCTAGTAAATCATCTATAAAGAGGAATATATTAATATCTAAGAACCATAGTACACGAGTGACATAATCTAGGAAGGCAATGACATATAGCAATTACTTGGAAATGGACATAATGCTAGGACATGTAAGAATGAGAAGAATGACCCACCACCTGAACCTGTTAAGCCACATGGCATGCCAAGACTCAGCATTCCAAAACCGACTACAACAAGTTCTAGACGTGGAAGAAGCACTAAAGGTGGAAGAGGGACTAAAGGTGGAAGGACACCATATAGAGGTGGAAGGATATTGTATGCTGGTGTTTGTTATGATCCAACCACATGAGAAACAATAATTGGAGTCCGCCATAATTTGTTCTTCAAATTCAAATAACATTTTGTTTTTAGTGGCTATCACTTATATGATGTATTCATCACTAAAAGGATCCTCATGTCTGCCACAACCAACATGGCTGAAGAACATCCTACATATTCAATTTCAAGTGAGGTTGTTGATGATGTAGAACGTAATGAAGGTGAAACTGTTGTTGGTAGTGAAGAACATAATGAAGGTGAGATCGTTAAAAAGTCAAATGATTGTATCTCAATCAAAAATAGATTAAATGATGCAAATAAAAAAAATAGTTCATTCCATGACTCAGTTTAATATAGATTAGGCATTACTTTGGTATATTTTGTCGCATATTTTGGCCCATCTTTTGTATGTATCTATATTTTACTTTGGATACAACTTTTGTATTATATGGAAAAACTAATGAAAATGGTATATTTTCGTCTCATTTTATAAAATGTAAGGATTTATTCATCATAAAGATGTACTTAACATGTTTCAAAATGTCCAAAAATTTATTTAACAAGTTTTATAAAGTCCAACAATTTATTTGTTGAAGAATATTGTTAATAGACTTAATCATTCAGAATATGCAAAACTTGTCAGGAATTTCCAAACTTCTCCCTAATTTGTTCAAGGAAAGCAACTACTAGACATTAAACGCATAAGGAGGTTCATCAACATCTGTCTTCCATTCAACTAATACTCTTGACTGCACAACACATCTATAAGTAACAACATCCACTTTCCATTCAACCAATGCTCTTAGACTACATAATACCATATTATGTAGTCTAAGAGCATTGGTTGAATGGAAAGTGGATGTTGTTACTTATAGATGTGTCCGAAACAAATCACGACGACTTCCTATATGAATCTTAAGTGAAAAAAAAAAAAACTTAGGGGCCATCTACCAAACATTTACCCGGTAAATGTTTACCGGTTAAGTTTAACATTATCATTTATTTATCGAATAAGATTTTAGTCCACCAAAACGGTATTGTATGCAACAATTTACCCAGTAAGCTCTTACCATGGTAAGAGTCGTCGCTCTCACTTACTAGGTAAGGCTCTTGGTCTTTGTGTAGCTCTTTTTTTGTAAGGGTGTCCAGGCCAAAGCCCGACTAATCCCCGGCAAATTTGGAGGCTAAACATGGCCCCACTTAAATGTCGCCAACACTCTCCTCCCAGGGCTCGAACATGGGTTCATGACTATGCAATGCCCAAGCTTTTACCACTAGGCTGAAAGGTCTTTACTGGGTAAGATTCTTGATTCTTACCATATTCATCCGGTAAGATAATGTAACTTGGTGTTCACTAAGCGGAGTAAGCGTTTAGTAAACGGCTCCTTAGTATGTGTAAAAATATATGTGAGAATCAATTTAGATCTTATAACCCAGATTTTGATTGGGAACAAAATTTGTTTAAGATCATACATCAATTTTCAATGGTAATATGAAACAATGTGACACAAATGAAGATGTGAACCCTTAAAGTGTATGAAAGTTTGTATAACAATCAATGGAGATCAAACAATATGGGTTGAAAAACAATGATTATATATGAAGCTTCAAGTTTTGGTTGAATAAATATGAAACTATATATAGTGAAGGTGACTTTATTTAATTAAAGATAGGGATAGGCGATGAATGTTAAAATAGCATAGCACGTAAGTCATTTGGGGTTTTGGTTTTGAAAGCCCATTAAGATGAAGATATAAAATATTTTGGATATAATTATTTATCAGGTTCAGGTGTAGTGTAGTGTAGGTAAACATGAAGAATTTTATTAAAAAAGCAGAGAAAAATGAATGCTTTATATATTCTTTCTAAATTTAAAGATTTCTCCAGATAACTCTTTAAAAACAAATTTCTGCAAAATAACATAATAATTTTTATTAAGAAATTCCAATCAAAGAAGAAAAATACATTTGGTCCCATCTCCTCCAAATAAAGAATAAAAGTCAAAATCATTTCCAGTTCCATTTAAAAAAATCCAGGAAGTAATCATAATATAATTAACTAAACAACAAGTTGTCCAATTTTTTATTGGAAACCCCCTAAAGTAGCTTAAAATCCCCAAAATCCATGTTTTTTTTTTTATATCAGATCATCCTACTATAGAAAATGTCCAAAGATTCAACGATAATTTGTAATTGAAGACAAGTAAGCATAATTGGGCGATGAATAATTGAAAATAAATAAATAAAAAAGATGAGATGAGATGATGATGTATGAAATAAAGAAAAGAAAAGGAAAAAGAGGAGAAAATTGATAGAAAATAGTAAATACAAATGTCAATGTTTCTCCCCCACTCCTCACCTCACCTCACCTCACCTCACCTTCCCTACAAACACACAAGAAAATAAATAAGATTGATGATGATTGTATGTTCTTATAAATCCATAAAAATAAAAATAAAAATAAAAGAAAAGAAAGAGGTAATAATAATTAATACTCACTTGTTTCTTTGTTTATTCGGAATCAGATTCCATACTTCCCATAGCCTTTAATCCTCTAGGTCTCTGTCAAATACCAACTCCAAATCATAAATTCTTTCTTTCTTTCTTTCTTTCTACTAAAACAAAATTTGTATTTGTGGAATTGTGGGTGGTACCTTCTTTGAGATCTTCTTCTCTCTAACCTCGTACCGTTCCAGGGTCAGATCGCAAAGCCACCCACCAGGACTCACCAACTACAATTTCATCATTTTTTCATCTCTTATTATTTTTTAACAATTCCAACCACCATTTTTCATTTTATTTTATCCTACACCCTCCAATCCAAATAATGATTTCACATTTAATAATATTTATTTATTTTTTATAAAATAAAATAAACAGATAGAAAGAGAGAGAGACGTACGTTGATGGTGCGTTGGATAAACTTGGCTCGTTTCTTTGGTCTTTGGGGAAGTTTAGATCCTTTAATGGCCAAGAAATCTTCTTCTTTCTCCTTGTTCGTCAATCCGATCACAAATTTTGGTGGCCACACCATCGGAACCGCTTCTCTCCCTGGCGATGTCCCACCCTTCTTGCTATCAAGCGCCGTCTCCGATGACGCCGACCCACCACCCCCACCGTTATTGTTTTTCCCATTATGATGGTGGCTCGTCGTGTTGCTGTTATAGCCACCCCTCTTATCCTGCGCACCCCCTCTCTCCGGTGAACAAACCCCTCTACCGCCGTTGCTCTGCCCCTTCATACCAATTGAACTCTCAGAAGAATTCCTACAATTTTTATTTATTTTTTTCAGAAAAAATAAAAAAAACAATTCACAGCTTTTTATAAATTAAATTTGAAAAAGTAATATTAAAAAAAAGCCGATAAAAGACAAGTATGGGCAAAGAGGGTAAAAGGAGAGTAAATTACAGGAATAGCCTCACGTCACGTCGTGGATCACCCAAGAAAATCGAGGAAATCGGAGGGTTGTTATGGGAAAGATGAGTGGAGGTGTTTGAATTATGGGTCAGGCCTTAAAAAGAGGGGGTTGTTTTTTTGCTTTTAATATTATTTTTATTCTTTTTTTTACTTTTTTCAATTTCTCCTCCATCTCATCTCATGGTTGGGCAAGGGGGGAGATCTGGGATGTGGGTGTGATAACATGCGCAGCGGCGCACAGAAGGAAAAGAAGAATATTAAATAATAATGAATGATAATAGCAAAAAGGTGGGCGTTGGTTTCCTGGCAAGATGAAGCCGTAGGATCATAAGGGGCTTGTCTTGTGTAGATGGACACGTGTCAAGATCATAAAGGTGATGAGAGTAAAGATGAGATGGAGGTCGTCGATCAAAGGGTGGAGAATGGTGTGATGATTGGGAGTGGAGGTGAGTTGTGTCACACGTGGTTGGATGGATAACTTCTCCTGATTGCGGTCCCCTAGCCTCTTTTGCAAAAAAGGGACCATATATGTGTTCGCATAAAAATGAATCTAAAACCTCACACAGTTGAATTATTATTACTTTCAAATAATTATTATTACTTAAATTGATGTGTTTATGTTTTAAATAACTGTATATTAAAAATATAAAATGATCATTTGTGCCAAATTCCTAAGTATATTTTATTTAGAATGAAGGGTAGGTTAATTAAGAATATGAAAAATATAAAGTTTTAAGCAGATAAAAAGTAAATGAATTCACTGTAGCAATTATTAGCAAACAAAGGAGTGAATCTAAAAAGAAAGGTTGGAAACAAGATCACTTGCACAACCAAGACATAGAATATCTTCAATAGAAAAAGAAAAAGGATTATGTTATACATATAACATATTAGAATAAAATTTGTAATTTGGGTATAAAAAAGGAGCAGAAAGAAAGTTGGTTGGAGGTGCATTAGATAGAACGAAGAAATCAGAATCTCCAACAAGGTTTTTAAAATTTAGAAAATACAGAGATTTTGAAATAAAAATTGAGTTTCAACAAATACCCTAAAAATATGAAGAAAATAGAAAACTTCGAGAGAAATATTTATTTTAAATATACAAATGATTATCATATAAGAATAATTTGTATCAATAGGGAACTTTGAAAACAATTACTCAATAGGGAACTTTTTAGATGTTTCAATATTTAGTTCTCATTTTAATAGAAATTCTGAAAAACCGGTTTTGAGATGCTCTTGGAATTTTAAGTAAAGTAGGAAACTTGTAAAGAATAAAAATATATATATTTTCTTCAAACACTTATCAACGTATTTTATATATTTTCTTAAAAATAAAAGACAATGGTTAAAATTTCTTAAAAATCATTATTTCATTTTTAATAATATTAATATTAATTATATCATCAAAATAATTAAAACAAAAGATTTTTATCCAAGGTTCAATTGAAAAACAAAAACTTCAATTACAAAATTTAGAAAAGAGAAATCATAAGATGAATAAAGAATCCATCCCAATAAATCTTCAACTAAACTTTATATAAAAAGTTAATATCATTGATGGCAAAAAATAAAGAAAGACCATATTTATATCCTGAGCATTTAAGTTTAAAAAAATTATTTTCTCCTACTTATTTACAAATAAAAATAAAAATAAAAATATAAACATTTAAATTAAAACAAAATACAAGATCGTGTTCCTCTCCTAAAATTAGTAAAGGTAAGCAGAAACTAACCAAAACATTCGAGGTTCAAATAACAATAAATAATAAATAATAATAATAATAATAATAGGTTGGTTTATTTAAGGGAAAAAGACACATCATGCCCCTCACATGACATAACCCCACTCAGTTATAACATTATTCCACTTCCAATCACGTTTATTCCTCCTCCTAATTAATTTTGTCATCACAAGTTGATTATAATTATAAAGTAAATCAACTTCACTTTTACCATAATATAATTTAGGTAATCATAATAATAACAAAACAAAAATATCTTACAATGATTTTTAATAAGATAATTTAGAATTAGATTTATTAAATCATAACTCAAAACAAAATAGAAAATATCAACGATTTTTAGAATAAACTAGAAGAGTACTCGTGCAATGCATCGAGACGCATCTCGATTTTAATATTCTATTTTATTATTTGTCTATGTTGATGTTATGTGTTTTTTTAATATGGCTTTATTTTTAAATAAAATATAAATTTGAATATATCATAAAAATTTAAAAAAAAAATATCAATGTTAATATCAAATCAACTATTTAAATGCTCTATTTTTTATTTAATTTATTTTTCTATTATAATTTAATTTAAGTTTAATTACGAAATAATTTATTTTTGGTTTGATAATATAACATTTTATAAAGATAATAATTAAGTATTCTGTTAGAACTCAATGGTTATCCTAATTATATTTTTTATATTTAAAATGAGATGTTTATCATGTATTTGATTATGTTTATCTGTAGTTAGTTACACGAATTCAGATATGACGCTTTAATAAGTTGTACGTTCACACAATCTACTTACAGTCTTGAGTTTTAAGTAATATGCATTAATAAACATTACTTTACGTATAAAAAATAGTTTTTAAGAGTTTTTGTCAAATACTTTATAATATAACTAGAAACGTACTCGCGCAATGCAGCGAGATACATCATGATTTTAATATTTTATTTTATTATTTATCTCAGTCGATGTTATAATATGGCTTTATGTGATTTTGAGAAAACGATGATATTTTTATTTTTGAATAAGATATATGTTTGACGATATCATAAAAATTTGACAAAAATATATCGATATTAGTATCAAATTAACTATTTAAAATTCCTCATTTTTTGTGTAATTTTTTAATTCAATTTTTTATTATAATTTAATTTAAATACAATAACAAAGTAATTTATATTTGGTTTAATAATTTGTTAGAACTCGATAATTATCCTAAATATATTTTAGATTTTTTATATTTTAAAATAAGATGTTTATCCTCTATTTGATTATATGTATCATCAATTAGTTATAAGAATTCAAAAATCGAGCTTTGATAAGTTGTATTTTTGCATAATTTACTTGTAATCTTGAATTTTAAGTAAACATTGGTTTTATGTGATTTTGAGAAAGTGGTAATATTTTTATTTTTGAATAAATATAAATTTAAAAATATCATAAATTTTTAAAAAAAAATATCAATATCAGTATTAAATTAATCTTTTTAAAA